CCGGGAGGATCCCACATGCCACGGAGCGGCTGGGCCCGTGAGCCATGGCCACTGGGCCTGCGTGCCTGGAGCCCGTGATCCGCAACGGTAGAGGCCACAGCAGTGAGAGACCCGCATACCACAAAAATAAAAAAAAAAAAAGAATCCTCCTGCCAATGCAGGGGACACGGGTTCGAGCCCTGGTCCAGGAAGATCCCACATGCTGCGGAGCAACTAAGCCCGTGCGCCCCGACTACTGAGCCTGCGCTCTAGAGCTCACGAGCCACAACTACTGAGCCCATGTGCCACAACTACTGAAGCCCGCATGCCTAGAGCCTGTGCTCTGCAACGAGAAGACACCACAATGAGAAGCCCGCGCACCGCAATGAAGAGTAGCCCCCATTCACCACAACTGGAGAAAGCCCACGCGCAGCAACAAAGACCCAATGCAGCCATAAATAAATAAAATAAAAAGAAGCTCTTTTGGGGTAGTTTGTCCTGTCAGACTGATAGCTCTTTTAGCCCTTTAAATGTGTTCATCCGTGGATTTTCCCCATAGGAATGTCATTCTCTGATGTTTCTCACCATGGTTCAGTTATAACAAAGTTGGGCCAAAGTCTTTATTCCTGAATTGAGGCCCTCAGGTCTCTCCCTGAGAGTTCAGGAGTTTCTTCCATTTAATAGACGTGGAGCAGACATTGATATAGAGCCAAGAGATTTGCCCTTGCATGAAAAGTTCATACAAATGGAAATTAGAGACAGAGACGTGTCAGAATTCTCAAATTCCCACTTCACTGCTTGGCTGCTGGAAAAGAACAATCCTCCTTCAGCCCAGTTTGTGCTTCTCCTAAGTGGTCCACGTGGTGACCTGCTCCATATCCACTTTATGTCAATCTAGAACTCTGCCAGCAAGCATTCATTCAAAAGGTTGCCTTCTAGGGTTAATTTAGGATAAAAACAAATTTTCTTTTTCATCTAACACAAGTAAGTTTAGGGGAAAATGTTTAGAAACTTCAATAGAAATCTTAGGAAGTTTTACAAATAAAATTAAGCATTAAGTAGTGACAAATGTCATTAATATTTACAACGCTTTAAAGATAATTATCAATTCCCTTTCAAATGGGTCCAGTAGAAAATGAGCCAGCAGTGGCTTGCACCTATGCTGAACTTTTAGAGAATCCATTATATGAGTAGGGAATGAAAGAGAATTCTGAGAAAAGGGAACTACCTACCTATACAAACACACACTCACAAAACCTGTGACCTATACATACTTTGCAAAATACCTGGATATCTTCAATACTTTTCAATAGCTTTACTGTGGCATGTACTCATCCCAGAGATTTAGTTTCTGGTGTCTTCATAATGAGTGAAATTGGCAGTCATTAAGTTGAGGAAAAAAAAAAGTGAACCAAGTATTTTAGCTTATGGTTAATCTATCCCTGGTTAGTTATATATGGTCAGAAAGAAATCAAAATGTTTAAGATTGTCTTTGACTAACATGAAGATATCTAACATAAAACACCTGTATCAGGGTTTCCCTGGTGGCGCAGTGGTTGAGAGTCTGCCTGCCGATGCAGGGCACACAGGTTCGTGCCCCGGTCTGGGAAGATCCCACATGCTGCGGAGCGGCTGGGCCCGTGAGCCATGGCCACTGAGCCTGCATGTCTGGAGCCTGTGCTCCACAGCGGGAGAGGCCACAACAGTGAGAGGCCCGCACACAGCAAAAAAAAAAAAAAAAAAGTACTAGGAAAGAGGAAAACTTCCATTTTCAGTTAAAATTTATATGAGATGTGGCCTTTTCCAACCTATAAAGGAAAAAAGGAAAAAAAAAAGTTTTTAATTGCAATGAAAGTCCTGCCATGTTTCATACAAGCAAGAGTGAATTTAGACACAAGGTATTCACAGAGGAGAAGCTAACCTATACTACATGAGGAAACTCAGTGCTGTTTTCAAAATTAATACACCAGGAACTAGAGGAGAGCAAGATTTGCCCAGGACATGGTCAGGTATCAGCAGCAGAGTCAGGGAACCCATTAATTCTGACTCAGCCCACCCATCAATCAGCAAAGTATATGCTTAGCACTGTGCTCTTGACCTGACACCCACTCCTTCCCTGTCTACTTGATTAAATTCGTCTGTAGTCTAAGGAGACCCCTCTAAAATTTATACATATGTGTTGTCCTTCACAGCTAAAAAAATAGGATATTAACATGATTAACATAATAATGTGGTTTTGATTAATAGGCTCAGGAAATTTTAAAACTCTGGTAGAAGCACAAAGCGCAGGCCTAAATCTATCCTCCAGCAAAAAGGTTGCTTTTTCTTCAGCAGTTTGATCCAAAAAAGCCTTAATATTTTAGTTAGGTGAATGTCTGACCATAAACTATGTTAAAACTACTTCAAAGTCTTCTCATTCCACCTGAAAATAACAAACATGCTACAAAATATTCAGCCACTAAGCCTACCTCCTCCTGTAAGAATCTCACCTTATCTTCCTGCTGGGAAACCTGAGGCGCAGTTATGAAGACTTAGAGACTCAGAAGCAGACAGCATATGCAGCCCCAACTCCCAGGCCCGGCTTTTTCCTTATAGAACACTTTCCAGGATTCATAGTTTTTTTTTTTTTAATTTTAATTTTTTTTCTTTTTAATTTATTTCTTTTATTTATTTATTTTTGGCTGCATTGGGTCTTCATTGCTGCACGCAGGCTTTCTCCAGTTGCGGCAAGCGAGGGCTACTCTTCGTTGCGGTGCGCAGGCTTCTCATTGCGGTGGCTTCTCTTGTCGCGGAGCACGGGCTCTAGGCGCACGGGCTTCAATAGTTGTGGCACATGGGCTCAGTAGTTGTGGCTTGCGGGCTCTAGAGAGCAGGCTCAGTAGTTGTGGTGTATGGGCTTCATTGATCCGCGGCATGTGGGATCTTCCCAGACCACACCTCGAATCCATGTCCCCTGCATTGACAGGTGGATTCTTAATCACTGTGCCACCAGGGAAGCCTCATACAGTTTTGATTCCCTTTAAGTACAGCTTTTGGTCTTTGTGGGTATAAAAACCATCACTTCTCTTACTATATTCTAAAATTTTAAACTAGAAAAAAATATTTGTGTCCCAAATTTAATTTTTTTGACAGAAAACGCTTCTTCCAACAGAGTTCCAAACCCAAGTTAATTATATGACGTAGGTAATGAGTGATCTCCATCTTCTCTAGGCTTCTAATCAGTTGCAAAATAGGAGTTTTGGTTAAAGCTCTTCCCTGCCATGAAAAAAACAAAGAGCAATTAATTGGAAAAAATCTAGAATGTACTGAAATGCACTTTCGTTGTAATATATCATCAAGCTATAGTCCTAAAATCACCAATACCTTCTTTCTTTGCAGGAAAGCTGTCCTGTGCTTTGCTAAGTTAAAAAAAGAAAGAATCCAATCTACAGAGACTATGTAATACTTTTACTGAATCCTAAATCAAGTCCATTAATATTTTCTTGAGCTACTGGTAGATGAAAACTCTGGACTATGTGAAAACTGAAAATGTTGTATGGATTATGTACCTAACATTTTTTCAATACCATCTTCCCACTATGAACAACCCCCTTATAGTGTCTGTGTGAACATTCTTTTGTTTCACTGGATCTTCTTGTTTAAATCTTCTTTGTTACATGAATTTTTAAATAATTTTAATGCCAAACAGTTTACCAGAAGAAAGTGATACGTGTAGTCCATCTGTCTGTCCCTAATTAGGCTCTCCTGGATCCTTTCTGTGGATTTCTTAGCCTAGATGAGATGCATTTGTAATTCACGGAACACAGATGGCTCTGAGGGGCTTAGGAAAGATAAAAAACATCAGTCATGTTCTTTCTATTGGATACCACGGAAGTGGAGCCATAGGCCATCTGCTGGCTAGAGATGCAGAGATTAGCAGGTATCCTGGTCTAAAAGGCAGAGTCCCAGTAATATTGCTCTGATAGCATTCAAGCAAGGTTGGCAGCAACTCCCATGGGCTAAGTCAGATGTTTAAAGGAGTCTCTACCATGCAAATGGAATTAGAAAAGTGTCTTCTTTAGTTTCCTTTGATGTCAATTTGTCCCTTCCTATCAGAGGAACCATGCATGAGGGGCTGCCTATCAAGAGAAAGAGGATTTGGAGCAAAGGGGCAGAGGCTCCAATCAGAACCACATGTGTTATCCTGACCCTTTAATCAATTTCCGCTATAAGCAGGCATGAATTGCTCTGTTTTTTCTCTTCTAAAAACCTGGTGCCATCATCAAGTAACATCTATAAATGTTATCTTTACAAGATTATTGTACTTTTGTAACCTAAGTCTGGTTATGGATCCTGAGGAACAAGGGGAAAAAAACTACAGACACTTGCCCAAAATGCATGCTAAAAAAAGTAATGGAAAAAGGTAGATTGAAAAGTAAAATGAACCTGCTATAGAGCACAGGGAACTCCACTTCGCTGGACAGTAGAAACTAACACAACGTTGTAAAACGACTATAGCACCCCCCAAATTTTTTTTTAAAAAAAGAAAAGATGAACTTAATAAAAGCAAGAGACACACTTTAATGAGATCTGTCTCATTCAAAGCATACTTAAAAGTATCTACAGAGATGGAAAAGGAAGTATATGTTAAAATATGTGAGGATTTATGGCTACTCAAATGGGTGACATCTATATTAATAAGAAAATATGACAGAGTCAGGAAGCTCTAGGCCAGAACAGAGTGTCTTTGTTTTCAATCTTCTCTGGCATTTGCTGTCATCGTGATCTTCAGTAAGTCCCTCCATCTTTTTGAGGTTTCCTTTCCTCATTCATAAAACTTAAGTAAGAAATGTTCAACTTATAAAGGCATTAGGAGGAATAAATGAGGTAATCTGTGTGGATGTGTATTAACTGAAAAGAACTCAACAAACATTGGTTACCAACAAAACCCATGTCACAGGGACAGGAATTAAGTATTCATGCTTGTGGCACTAACTCTAAGGCAAAGTTAAGAATCTGGGTAGGGGCGCTCTCTCAAATGCTTACATTTGATGTTCTCTCACAAAAGCTGCAAACTCAGGATCCCTGGCATACAGTTCCAAAATTCTCATTCTTTCTTGAATTTCCTTTAAAAAAAAAAAAGAAGAATAAAGAAAATGAAAAGAAAGTTCTTCTACATTGCATTAGAAAAACTTTAACAGCTTTTTAAAAAAGAGGTCTGAATTTTATAAGAGATTGTGGCTTTCTGAACTATCCAGGGGAGAGCTATAGAAAACAATGGCCTTTTCAGAAAAATGGAAGGTGTGGCTACTACATGAACTGCTCTGAATAACCCAGTCATATATTTCTAAGGAGGGGGGCTGGAGGGAGAGAGCATTTGCTATTAATGATAAAGGACCCACTGGGTGGGAAATAAGGTACAGCGCAGAATTGTATACCCTCTACATATCACATCGACTGGGAGATAGCATGAGGTAAAAAACTAATCATGGGGCTTCCCTGGTGGCGCAGTGGTTGAGAGTCCGCCTGCCGATGCAGGGGACACAGGTTAATGCCCCGGTCCGGAAGGATCCCACATGCCGCGGAGCGGCTGGGCACGTGAGCCATGGCCGCTGAGCCTGCGCATCCGGAGCCTGCTCCACAATGGGAGAGGCCACAACAGTGAGAGGCCCATGTACCGCAAAAAAAAAAACAAAAAACTAATCATGAAATAATTTTCAACCTTTCTTGCAACCTACTGTACACACATGAAAACACACACACACACACACACACACACACACACACACACACACACACACACACACACACACACAACACAGCCCACAAGCAGCAACAGAAAAAACAAGTTTCCTACCTCTCTGGAAAGCTCACTGTTCTCATACATTTGTCTGATTTCTTCCCTGCTCAGACCAGCAATCATCTCTCTGCCTGTGGAGCTGTAGAAGGGCCGCTGAGGGTAGGGTCCTTCGTACTGTTCGAGATCAGCCCCGTGACTTTCAAACACGGGGTTGTGCTTTACAGCTCTTTCCACAGACGAGAGGCTGTCAGGCTGCCTGCTGAAGCCACAAAAAGAAAAGTATGATTGAATCAGTTTCTTCGTTGGATGCTCAACTACTTGGAAGACTATTTACCTGGAGCAAGATTTCTATTGAGGAAGAAAAAGAGTCTAACTGGATACAAATGGGGGACGAGGAGGGGTGACTGTGAAAAATATCCAGATCAATCTCAAAGATTATTTACCACGTGTTATCATTATTATCTCCTCAACTATCTGGTAAGTGCCTGTGGAACTGTTCCATGTCTCCTTCATCTTTATTTGCCCCACAGTGCCTGGCACCCAATAAATGCTGATGGGGAAATATGTCTGCCAATAGTATTTCATTAAATGAATACAGCTCCATTATTCCCAGGGTAGATAAATCAAAATCAGTGTGTAACCACACAAAGAATCTACTAGAAATAAAAATACAGGGGAGAATGGGCTTCAATTAAATTAAATTCAGGTCTACAAATATGTGCTGAGCATTGATTATATGCCTAGGAACATTCTAGATGCTGATGATACAAAGAATTGTTGGAATCTCTCCAGAATGAGACTGCGGTCTAATGCAAAGTCAGACCCAATAAAAAGTATAAGAACAATATGGAATTATGTCCTGGGTGCTCTAGGAACCTAGGAGAGGTGTCTCCTGGGCCTAAGCCAGAGGATGAGGGGAGGTAACCTAGACCCGAAGCAGACCTGGAAGCACAGAAGCAAAGTACAGCCCGGGATTGTGATCATATTACAACCCCAAAGGTCCTTGGATCGCTTAGTCTAGCAAGTAGAACCAGTTTTATTTCCTTTGTTAATGAAGCTATGCTTAACTAAAAAGAGAACCAGATTCCATTTCTTGTCAGATTCTTATCTAGATTTAAAGTCTGGCTGATTACCACTGGAATGAGCCAAAGGGGAAAGAACTAACAGATCTGGTCCTCACATAGGGCCTCCCCTCATCTCTATCACCCTTCCAACCCCTCCCCCACCATGACCTTCAGTGTGCAGTGAGATTCATGCATGCCTCCCTAACCGTGCTAATGTTCATTCAACTAGCTAGAATGTTTCCCACCCACCCCCTGCAGCAAACATCTACTCTTTGGTCCAGCTAAATACCATAGCCATCATTAAAACTTCTAAGATGTCCTCCCCTAGGCAAAACAAATTCATTCTTCATCTAGGCACCTAGCAGCTTGTTCAAACTGTTGCTTATGTTTGTCTCCAATCTGACACACTTTGAGGACAGGGACCCTGTCTTTATTCAACTTTATAGCCCTCTCCCCTCCATGCTGATCCTTTCCAGTATTTGGCACACAGGAAGTACAAAATGAATGAATAAAAGGAATATTTTAGTCCATCAGAGAGCAACTGTCCGTACTTACCTGAAGGGCCTCTCTCTTTCTCTCCTAACATACTGAGCTTGAAGAGTCCTGATGAGGAAGAAGACGAAAGCAGAAGAAATGAGGACAAGTCCAACCATGGAGGCGATGGTGATGCCTATCACCAAGGGCTCGGACACAAACTCCTCACAGTGTTCACCTCGATACCACCAGTTCTCACCCACCCGGCACCTGGAACGAGAAGCGACCAAGCCCCCAAATGGAATCACTCTGCTGAAAGTAACAAGTAACAGCAGAACCTACAGTGGGACTGAGAACAGGTAGAGAAATAAATGCTGACCACATGAAGCTTCAGGAAAGAGGTAAATATACAGGCTAAATGGTAAGATTTAATGCTATGCATGAGACCTGGCACAGACCCAGGAGGTCCTCAATGACTACTTGTAAAGACCGAATAAAAGACTGACTAGACTTAAAGAAAGTCAACTTCCTTATTTACGGATAATGAAAAACAGGCCCGGGAAGGAAAACGACTGGTGTTGCATCACACAATTAGTCAGCAACAGAGCTGGTCTAGAACCCAGGTCCCTAGACTCCTCACGTCCTTCCATCACACTGCAGAGATCCTCCAAACCCCAAGGCCACCCACTTGTGCAAAAATGTCTTCAACTCCCAGAGCAGCAATCACTGCTTTTCAAAATCATATTCATTTCTCTGGAAATCAAGAGACTATTTTTCCTCTTAGTTTTCTAGCTAAACTTTACACATAGAAAAGTGTGAATCATTTCCACCGATTTCTTCTGTTTTTGGCATCTATGCCAACATTTGCCCTTTTTGAAATCCACAAATTGTCCTCTTATTGATGTTTCCCCAGCTTATTCTCAGCATTCTCTCCTTTCACACCATGTGACTTTGGTTGGATGTGGTTGGGAGGTTGATTTGCTCTGCTCTTTTTAAGGGGAGTGACCAGGGAAGGCTACCTGAATCTGCTCATTTGCCTGCTGCATTTTCTTTGGTTCTACCTTTAAAAAATAGATCTTAGATACTTAAAATATATTTGTCACAATTTTAAATACTTGCTTTTCTTTATTTTTGAATATTCAGTAGGACCAAGAGCAGCCCAAAGCTGTTAAGAACATAATTCAAATAGAACAATAAAACTCCTCTGTTTCAGATACAGTGTAAAGTGTCGATCATATGCCTAAACCTAATTTGATCACCAATTGCCTTGTTATCACCACTAAGAACCATAACACAAAAATCCCCAACTACTCTACGTACTCTCCGTAGGATGCTAGGCAATGTTTTTCTTACAGCTCCCTAAGAGCATAAGATAAAATAACCCACTGAACTGGGTATAATTCAGGCCTATGAACTGACTCAGTCCTCACAGGAGGACTAGATGGCACCCATCTATTTCTTAGATATAACTTCTATAATAAATATTGCTGTGATCGTCCTAACATCATAGGCACAGATCCCTTTTCTTCAGAGGAAATATCTCTAATCTTGTGAAGCCAAAATCTCTAACTATAGCATACCTACAAATGGCCCCATGCCCAGGCATGATGTCACACTTTCCATCATTCAAGCAGAAGTCGGGCTGTAGGTCACAGAGACTCTGACAGGGCAGTTCTTCCACACTCAGGTACCCAGGGTAGCATCTGCACTCTGCTTCTCCACTCCAGGGGCTGACCAAACACTCGGAAAATTCATTGCATGCTTGAAACTTGCAAGGGTTGGCTTGATCACCTAAAACAACAAGCAAACCAGAAAACGATACAAGGAAAGGCAAAACACAGGAATTGGGGTACATGAAACCCCTCCACTAAGGCTCCCCCATCCAAAGTACCATGAACATCCAATCCCCTTCCTGAATCACTGAACTACAACACCACTATCCACACCACAAAAAAATTCTGATTCATCCTTGATTGATGAGCTTTTGTCAAATTTCCCTGAAACTCTGAGCCAAACCATAAAACCCAATGACCTGGGTGAGCCTCTCTCTACCTGTTTTACGTAGGAAGCATGTAGAAGCTTTAAAACCCATGTAATTGTAGATCTAAATTAAACAGTTTTCATGTACCGTTCATTTCCACCAACCCTATCCTTCTGTCATCCTCCTCCATGCTGCACATGATGCTACATGCCCCACCCCCAGCCCACCCCACCGAGAACATGGATGGAGAGACAGTATCCAGAGAAGAACTGGTGGAAGCCTCAGGGATGTGTATAGCCCAATAAGAGCAGCCTAAGAACATTGGAGATTAGCAAAAGCTAATGTCAGAAAAACAAATCAGCCCTGCACCTCCTCAGGCCATTCCCAACAGTATTTTAGCTTCAGTAATTTCATTTTTCATTGATGGGATGAGAGAAAGTGACATTTTTTAAAATTAATTAGGACACAAACCAGTCAAAAATGATAAAAGACATTGACCATGGATGGGCCTTCCATCCTACCATGGTTCCACTGTATGTTCTTCACTGGTGAGTGACAATCTCTGAATTGCAAATGGTGACAAAGATACCACAAATAGAGGAAATAACTGTAAATGACCCATAAACTCATCTGTATGAAAAAGCATAAGCATTAGCCAGAAGACAAAGGGGAGGTTAAAGAACAAAGAGCATAGTCTCTCAGTTTCCAGATAAATTAATATTGCTCTCAGAGTCAATGATTTCCTTGCTACTGTGAAAATTAAAGACATTTTGCACGAATCTGTGGCCTTGGAGTTTGTAGGATCTCTGCAGCTGATCTTTCTTAGCCCTATGTAGGAATGGGGACAGATAATGGGTTGAATAGTATCCTCCCAAAATTCATGCTCACCCAGAACCTCAGAATATGACTTTATTCGTAAATAGGGTCTTTGTAAATGTAATCAAGTTAAGATGAGGTCATACTGGATTAGGCTACTGCTAGTCCAATACCTGGTGTCCTTATAAGAAGAGGGAAATTTGGACACAGAGACACAGACACACAGTGAAGAAGGCCATATAAAGACAGAAGCAGAGATTGGAGTGATGCATCTATAAGCCAAGGAGTGTCAAGGATTGCTGGTGAATACCAGAAGCTAGGAAGAGGCAAGACAGGATTCTTTCCTAGAGCTTTCAGAGGGAACATGGCTCTGCCAACACCTTGATTTGGATTTCTAGCCTCCAGAACTATGAGAGAATAAATTTCTGTTGTTAGAAGCCACCCAGTTTGTGGTCCTTTGTTATAGCAGCCCTAGGAAACTAATACAGGAGACCAATAATAAGATGCTCATATAAGAAGAGCACACAAATGTACTGACAGATGGCAGTTTCTACGAGGGAACTACACAGCAGGATTCGACTGTGTGTTTCCTAAGTCTTCACATCCTTACCCTGGTATTCATTCTGTGACTTTTTAATCAGAAAATAATCTAATCCTGGCCTAGCAGTGAGGTACAGAAGTGTATATAGGGGGTGGGAAGGATGATATTGCACAGTCCCCCTTTGTTGATGGAAATTCAAGAATTTCTGAGACACTACATGCTAAAACAAATTAAGCAAGAGACAAGTCAGTCTTATCTTTGGCCAACCTTCAGATAAAATAATAGTTTAAGCTGAAGGCTTTTAACTAAAAATGTACAAGAAATAGGAAAATTCTATTTAAAAATTCTAAAACTTTGTGACCATTCCATGGGTGTGGATGAGTGTCTAGGGAAAGGAAAAACAGAATCCATAAGAGGAAAAAGATACATGTTGCTCCCTTTTGATCCCAGATCAAGGAGAGAGACCAAGACCAATATTTTAATCATGTGAATAAAAGACTGGAGTTTTAAAGTCGATTTCTAGTCTTTTGTGCAGGTTAAAGGTGGAGGCCCAGAATAGATAGCTCTTTGTTTGGAAGAGTACTTTAATGACTTTATGGGAAAACAAAGGTAGACTTGGGGCTAATCTTGGGATGGGAGACAGGGATGTAAACTGTAGAATGAATTACACTCTGGTTTTCCAGGGACAGGCTAAGAGAAGGATTGATGGGTCCCAGAGAATGAGAGTAGAGGAAATGTGAAGAAGGTCTGGAAATACAGCCAGAGTGGCCTGAGGAACATGGTAGCTGACTTAGTCCTGGAGAAAAAATTGGTCATTAAAAGACACCCTTGAAAGGGTGGCTGAGAAATTTTTGGATATTTACACCTAACAGTAATCTCCTGTGCTACAATAAAAATTCCTCCATCACCCTCATATCATCAACAAATATCTGATGGAATCAACTGCCTTGTGTTAGAGGTACTTTGGGAAAGTAAAAACATGGGACCATGATCTGTGTTGGATTAACATAAAGAACAACCACAAGGGTCAAGACAAATGTGAGATTGGAAATTCAGCAGAAGGAAATCAGAGCTGGAGACGATTAAGAGACAGTTAAGTTCCCTGATAATTCCTAGAGATATTAGGGGTTGAGGGCCATGGATGCAGGTTTTACACTGTACACGGGAGAGACTAATGCAAATTCATTTGAATATTAAGGAACAAGGTGGCCCTATAAACCTGGATGATTTGGCATAGAGCTGACATGTGAGTTACATACAAAACTGAGGTAAATGCACTTATTTATGTACTTCCCTTTAAAAAGAAGTGGGTAGGGCTTCCCTGGTGGCGCAGTGGTTGAGAGTCCGCCTGCCAATGCAGGGGACACGGGTTCGTGCCCCGGTCTGGGACAATCCCATGTGCCGCGGACCGGCTGGGCCCGTGAGCCAGGGCTGCTGGGCCTGCGCGTCCGGAGCCTGTGCTCCACAACGGCAGAGGCCACAACAGTGAGAGGCCTGCGTACCGCAAAA